ACGATTAAACGGAACTTGTAAAATTGATAAGGTAAATATTTATACTCGCGAATAGTACGTCTGAGAATACAAGACTGAAATTCTAGCTACTTAAGCGTCCCGTGTCTCTCACACCAGGCGCCTAAAATCTGCAACGGTATACATACATGTACACGGTATATACATACTGCAGTATGTTCGTGCTACTTTTACTTATATCTCTTTCTCCGTGTGCCTGAAACCTTGGTTGCGTGTACACGAAGCAACCCCTCTGTGTTTCTGCGCTCTCGCTAAATCGAAAAACTTTACCACTCGACGCTCGAGTCAAGAGTAGAACGAATCGAAATAAAATGATAGTCGATGGTACGAGTTGGGATTAGGGCCAACTGGTTGCGGTGCTTCGGAATGATAACGACGGAGAGAGTACGTTCGCACGAGAATGGAAGAAAAAGGCCTGCTCTTCATAAACGTTGGAATGAAATGCGACGACATACAGTGGTGTTCCTCGAGATTACTAACTTTTTCCCATCCCACTATTTCCTAGCTTGAGAATACACTCGACGTGCATCACCGAACTATTGCAGTACGAAAGGACTCGAAAGCTTGTTCGACAAATATTTCTATTCATACTTGATAAAACTTGCAACGTATTGCAGATGTCACATAACGAGTCGCATAATTATTTGTTTTATTATATTAGTATCCACTGCTATTATAAATTACATAGAAAGAAAATGGCGACCCCAAAGAAGAAGAAAAGAAAAGAAAAGAAAACAAAAGAAAACAAAAGAAAACAAAAGAAAAGAAAAGAAAAGAAAAGAAAAGAAAAGAAAAGAAGAAAAAGGGACAAAAAGGGAAAAAGGAGGAATATATAGAATAATTACTTGGAGCCTATCGCTGTTATCGTATGTATCGAAGAAAACTCGATAAACGTCAATTAGAATGGAATTATGTCATAGCAGAAATATGTGACGTATGTATAAAGTGACGCGCTCATTGACGTATCATTAATCAAAGCTCAAAGCAAGTATAGGGTACCGGTAAACGGTTTAAATTATCGAACTTTCTAGGAAAGTGGAGTACCCCGTTATGGTATTGACATTATTGATTGATCGTGCATTTCTGAAGAAATAAATACTTCGAACCAAGTCGTAACGGCATAGAGAGAAGAAAAGAGAAGAGAACAAATTTTGTATTATTTTTTATATACACGTGTGTCTGGTAAATATGACGCTTTAGCGGTTAGGTATTTTAGCATTTCGTTAGAAATGCCGCGGAAGGTAAGCGTATAGGAAGAAAGCTTGGTTATTTAAGCATTGACATGTACGATTACGTTCGAGATTTCTTCCTACGATACTACGTATGTAACTGCTTCGCTGTTTTTAAGCGATATCATCTTCAGACCTCTTTGGTCTCTAAATCTCGTTTATCCACAAGTTTTCTGACGTTGACACAACCGTGGCAACTAACTCTGACGAATGATTTTCCATATTCAATTCTGGAATTTGTTTCGCGATTCAAATATTCCGTTGTTGTTCGTACTTTGAAGGTTCGATGCTTGCGGCTTGTTTTTCTAGCAACTAATCTCACGAGCATAGTATTTATTATATTATTATTAAATATTACGCCTGCCATATGCCAACGCCTGTTGTTAATTACGTGTACCACTTATTTCATACACATACATTTTTATTAACCAACTTCTTTTTTAGAATAAATATCGTGTACGATACGACAGAAACTGATCAAACGTGTTATTGGCATAACATTACTACCAAGTTTACGTACCAGTAACAGAGTAGAAGCATCGATTTTACTATGTTTCGCAGACTTGATACGTGTTGCCTACTTATCATCTTATCATATTTATATTGCTAAAAATTATACTTTTCGTGATAAAATTTGTCCAGAAAATAGGGGATACACACGATATCAAGAATAAAGAGATATATATTTGTTGTTGAAAGAGATTTTAATAGTTTGAAAGATACGCGTCCACTCGAGTATTTCTCGCCAGTGGACACTGCGTCACTCTCAACGCAATGTTCATTCACGAGAAATACTATCGGGAGCAACTCGCGATAGTTTTACTTTAAAGTGAAGATGCACTTAAAGATTTGACGAATAAATATACATATATGTGCACGCGTAAGTATATGTATACGTATCCTATATGTACGTATTCTAGCGAGAAAATTAATAACTCGACCGTGTAAAGCAATTCAGGTCGGTTTGCCACCTTCGTTCCTTCTTCTCGTATATGGCAATCGACCGCTGCCTGTATCAGTTGCGACAATGATAGGAGAGAACGCCACCTGTTTTCAAGTGTTATGGAACCTCCGACCAGCATCATCGTCTTTGTCTTAGATAACTTGCCACGTAGGTGCACATTGCACCCTACACACACAGAGAGAGAGAGAGAGAGAGAGAGAGAGAGAGAGAGAGAGAGAGAGAGAGAGAGAGAGAGAGAGAGAGAGAGAGAGAGAGAGAGAGAGAGAGAGAGAGAGAGAGAGAGAGAGAGAGAGAGAGAGAGAGAGAGAGAGAGAGAGAGAGAGAGAGAGAGAGAGAGAGAGAGAGAGAGAGAGAGAGAGAGAGAGAGAGAGAGAGAGAGAGAGAGAGAGAGAGAGAGAGAGAGAGAGAGAGAGAGAGAGAGAGAGAGAGAGAGAGAGAGAGAGAGAGAGAGAGAGAGAGAGAGAGAGAGAGAGAGAGAGAGAGAGAGAGAGAGAGAGAGAGAGAGAGAGAGAGAGAGAGAGAGAGAGAGAGAGAGAGAGAGAGAGAGAGAGAGAGAAAGAGAGAGAGAGAGAGAGAGAGAGGGTGTGTTTCACATGCTGCAATTTCGTTAACGTTGACATTGACGCTATATTGCAACTCGCCACATATTGCAAACGACTCTTAATCAGACATTTCTCCCATTCATCATCTTTTCGTACTTGTGATTCTTCATACAACACACACAACTATAACTTCTTTCTTGTCCATTCTCCCGTTTACGCATCTTACAAATCGATCAAACACGAGGCAATAGCTCGAAATGATAATAAAATGAAGAATTCATTGATAAGTAATAACAAGAGCGGAATAATAAAGAAATAACTAATATAACATATAATATAATAAATAATAAATAAGAATGAATGTTATCGAGTAATTAATTGGGAATATACGCTTACGCGTAACCTCCAGGCATCGCGTAAAACAATTAATCGGCTCATCGCTCGTAAGATTCGCATGTAAAATTTTATTCACTCTATCACCACTGGCTTTGTTATTAATAATTTCAAAGTTCCAATCTTCTTAAGAATTTCCACGATTTCCACGCTCACTTACTCAATAACAGTTTATCAGATATTTTATCAGATATTTTACGCGTATACGTAATACGCGTTGTATATTATGCAGGGTGTCGCGGTTTTAAATGATCAAACCACAGCAGCATGTTATACGGATAGAAACGAGGAGAAACGAGGTACAACGAATATAAACGTTAATCTAAAAACGTTTTGTAAAAAAGTTGTAGAAGAAATATGAAAATTAAGGACGATAGAGCGGAATTCGTTGTTGATACGCATCGCAAAATAGTGTAACAATGTCGTAGATGTTTACATGGAGTATGCCGTTACGACGAGATCGACGAGCGGGCGAATTAGTATGCATTCGGCGTTTACATCTTTACGTTCCCATTTCAAAGTTTCCTCCCTTTGAAATACACTAGCTTGACATTGTAGGCAGATTGAGTTTATCACTCTGCGAATTTCATGCTTATTTTGTTTTACGAGACAACGACGGAAAGTGTACGATGACACAGACCTGTGTTTATATAATAACACTTTTTCCTACCACACTTTCCACTCGTACAACATACCGCCACAGTTTGATCACTTAAAACTGGGACACCCGCATACTAATAACCTGTACGAGTATACGTATGGATGTGTGTATATACACGTGTATACTGTATAAGATAAAGGATCTTTGTTATGGTACACACTTTCTTTTTACTTTGGTGATTCCCTTTTTGTTTTTTATTTTCATTGTGAATATCTCATAACTCGCAATAAAATGGAAATACGTACAAATCGGTTAACCTTTAATTTACTTGGATCGAAAAATTTTAACTGTTCGTAAATTTGCTTCTGACGAAAGAAGTGAGACACAGGAGAGATAATACGAGGGGAAATACTGAAATAAACTTTAAATTGAAAACAAATTTTAGAACGCCTTTTTGTTAAAATTCAAAATTATATGAGAGTATTTAAAAATTTGAAACGGAAGCACTCGGAACCACGTCGATAACCATGTTATTACACGCTAAACTAAATATCGATCTTATTTCACTTTCGTTTGCAGGAAAATTGAACGACTTGGTTTTTTTTAAATTCAGCCGTTTTCCGTTTCTGGCGTCGGTTAATCACTGCGAACGTCGAGTTTGCGATGCAAACTTTATTTCACGCCCGGTACCCATTACCAGATTCAACCGTACCCACTTTCCAAGCATGATCATATAAGCTGATATATTGCGCGTGGTGCCTATGGTGATGTCAAACGACAATATGACTACCTTTTCGTTCTCGTTGAATTTCATTTCGAGTTAACATAATTTACATACTATAATAATTTTAATACTATATATACCTATGATTATCATCATTATTACTATTATTACAATATTATTGTTATTATTACTATGATCATTCATTCAATTAATACCAAATCATTTCAATTTTCCGCTTTCGTTATATTATATTTCCAAGTGATCGTAATTTAATTGACAAAGTACATAGTTCATTGCTTGCTCATCATTCTGCAAGTTTGACGTTCAACTAGTAAATCGATTTATCTTGATCTCCTTTCCCCTCTCTTTATAAATGTCTATCGTCGTCTTGTTAGTAATACGTCCTTTATTAGTAATACGAATATTAGATCCTAATAGACTATAGTAAATATCAATTATCAGAGACAAATACGTTATTTCCTTCCGTGCTCAGATAATTTCTTATGATTTATATATATTTTTGTTACAGGAGGCCCGCGAACATTTTCTGCTAGGCCTTACCGTGGAGGTTGGTTGGTTTGTTTGGTTTGCAATTACAATTACATACATAGTCTGTAGATATTTTCTTCTCAAGTCTGCCGTAATTTCAACCACATTTCTATGTTTCCATTCATATTATCCATAACTATAGCTATATTTATATCTTTATGTATCGGAATATCTAAACATATAGCATATGTATATGCGTATAACGACCGTACATTTTCATTTCCTGCTTTGTGTGTATTTTTCTGTCTATCTATCGGCTATCTCCTTCCCGTTTATCTCTTGTCATCTCTCCCTTTAGCGTTTTCATCATCATTTAACCATGCCAACTTCTTTTCCGTATCTATGTATGCGATTCGATTAATGCCATGTTGTTAACATACGAAATGTTCTCACGAAATGATCCGTGTAAAATCGATGGGAATAATCGACGGATATGTAATTCTCGTATGAAATTTTCTTCTTTTATATACATGTTACAACAATTTTATTACTTTATACTCAACGTAGGCGTATCAGTACAAAGTACAAACTGTAATTCGAAACTTGACGATATCTGAAAATTATGTATAACACTCTCTTTTCTTCTATACGTTGAATATTTCACCACATAAAAATATTACAAATTATCACATCTTCTTTTAGTAGGATGTTTTCGTACGTTATACACGCACATTTCGTGAAAATGTTTGTACACCGGTTCAGCCAAATTAACCATTACGAGCGACGCTTATATCGTTTAATAATAGCGTATGATATATTTACAGAAATCGATTACTTTAATCACACAAAACGCGTCTTATCCTATCAATTTACATTACTAGTCTTATTTATACATTACATCGATGATAAGCACGATAGCAAGAAATTTTTCCGAAGGTAGGTGACAAACGATACGACTTATCGTTTCACCATACAACTTATCATGGAATTTATCCCGGCTCGAATAGATTATGTACCAACTGGGTTGTACTGTTGGATTATGCACCAACTTTTAAGCAATTTTGTTCGTAATCGGGTGGAGCCGAGCCTGAAATCCAAGGAACTATAACCTGTACGATCTTTATATTGCAACACGAAGCAAGCTGTAGTTTGAAACCAACATCATATCTGACATGTATTTATATGAATCTTTTTTCTACTTTACTTTTACTAAAAATCAGAAACTAGGTTTCACAATTATATTTCAATGTCGTCATTAATCTACTACTCATCTACTGTCATTAATATTTCGCTAATTATTTAGAAGTTTATCCTCAAGTTCGATTTCGATGATTTTTGAATATGTCGTAAAACTTCAACATTTGGAACAATATCTTCCTCGCAAGAAAATATCCTACTCTCTTAGTAAATTTTGCCTATAATCACGCGTCAGTACTGGCCGTATGGCGGCCGACAACCAATACTAACGCATACGTTGTTACGGACGCACGATATGTCGACGATATAGGCAGAGTTCACCGTCGACGTTTACGCGAGAGGAGAAACATTGTTCGAAACGAACGATGTCGAGTTTTATAACGTACTCAAAAATCATTGAAATCAGCGTGGAGGAAAACATTTAAATAAATAACATTTAAATAAGGAACATTTAAATAATTACCGACATTTCTTGACAACGACACGGAAGGATAAAAGAGACGGACGACGAACGATTGTATGCGTGTTACGTCGGATGCTATGTAAATCGTAAATCAAATTTATTTATTATTTTCTAGGCGACGAGGCGACGAGGCAAATTAAATAAATAAATATACGTATATATGCGTATTCTTGAAAGGGATATTCGTAAAAAATTGCTTTACGAAGCGATTCTTGAGAAGGATGGCAGCAACGATGACGACGACAAGATTGTCGCTCGACTGACGCCTCGAGTGTCAAATCTCGTTGCTCGTTGCGGGGCGGTAAACATTCGCGATATTCTCAACAACCATTGTCGGTATCATCGACGCGACGCGACGCAACGCGATGCAACGCGACGCGACGCAACGCGACGCAACGCGACGCAACGTCCGTCGATGTGCACTCGACGAGGCTTCTCACGTTCCTGACCGCCGCGTCGTTCTTCCAAGATGACCGCTCGGGCGTAAAATTTCTCCGCGACTAGAAAGCAAACGAGATATCGTTTCAAGAAAACGTTCGAACAGAGTAACCTTCGAAGGAACAGTATGTATCACTGTGAATATATGTATTAGATCTCGCTGTCCTGTCTCCTCCTCACTCTCTCTCACCCTCTCGCCCCGTGTAGCGGAGGCATCGGACCGCGGTACATAATTATCTATATTACATATATCCGAGCTCATTGAATTTCGTACTCTGCAAGAGATGCAGTCGGTAATCGCGGTTTCACGATTGTTCGCGTTTATTAGCTCCTGCATGGCTAATTTCAGCCACAACTAGTCTTTAGTTGCTCTTCGAATAGACTGAATTTTGGATACCAACTAACGTATATTCTAATTCTTGTAAAGCGAAATTATCGATCAAGAACTTCCCTCTGAAAGAAGGAAAGAATTTTCCTGCAAGTGATTATGAAAATATGAGCCCGAGTCGTAAAGCAAAGTACGTTTCTGTCGTAAAAGGGAGTGAACGATTGAAGACAATTCGAGTATTCGGAGAGAATAAGGAAAGAAACCGAGTCTTGACCGAACCTGTAGATGAATGTAATTTCTACGATTTATATATGTAAAAAAGTGGTTATTTTTGCAAACGTTAAGAGTGCTTGAGTAGGGATAGCGAGAGAGAGAGAGAGAGAGAGAGAGAGAGAGAGAGAGAGCAGACAGGTCGAGCTAGATTTATTCGTTCCTAAGAGAGAGATGAAATTTCAACGAGACAACACCTGTGTCCCGAGTTTGGGTCTGGGTTCGCACGAAACACTAGGAAACCCTATCTGCGATGTGCCTGTGCTGATATACGGAGCTAACAAAATTTCTTGCTGTTGTATCGTATCGTATCGTATCGTTCGAACTTTTTCGATAGAAACTACTGAATCAGCGAATTACGGAAACGTGCCATATCCAAGATGTCCTACGTACTACCCGATTTATAAATGTAACAAATAGGAAATTACCCGAGGACAAATTAAGACATCGACTAAAGACGTATTGACTTACTATATAACGCGTTTAATATACTTGTATCGTATGATTGTACTCGTATTCCTAGAAATTTGTCACGCAACTAACGTTAGAATAGTCCAATTCGTACAACTTCTTCATTTAAATATGAGTGTGAAAAATGACGTGTATAATCGTAACAGAAAAAAGTACATGTTCGTTATACATATCGTATATCGACGAGCAGTATCAAGACACGGTACAGTTTTCCTAAGACTCTTTAGACTGTTTAGAGTAATGAAAATAAAATCCGAAAATTACGATTGACAGGTGCTATGAAAAGGTAAGTTGCTGGATGCTTTCAAGCGGTAGCAACCAATATCCGTCGCAACGGTATCGTTTCATATCACGGTGCACGTACGCAATGGATATTGTTTCCTCGTGGCCGAAAGTTGAAAGGATACGAAAGAAGTTTCCCTCGCGTCGTATCTAGATACGGCAGCCAGCCTTCCTTCTGGCTCTCCTCGTGAGGTAATGGGCTTTGGAGAGCGGTGACAGTTGCGGAAGGAGGTGGGGACAAAAGCGAGGAAGACACTATGCCGAGCTTCCTAAAGCGTGTACTGGTAACAAATCATTCAAGAGGAAGCGACCTGCTATACAGTGCTTTCTACCCCTTCGTGAACGATTTGATTTATACGTTGGTCCTGATTACAATTGATTTTAGTCTGACGATATCTGTCTGTCCGACGACGGAGTACGTTGTAACATTCTCCACCGTATTTGTACCGTACAAATCTATCTGCCATGCGAAACACAGCCGAGGAATATTAAAATTTTAAACCGCGATGGCAGTGCTTCTGTATAAAAATTGAAAACAATTATTTTGTCAGAATGTAAGATCGAATCAACGATATACGACTTACTTTTTTCGATTTATTCGTCCGATGGATGTCAATCTCTAGAATCTTACGTATATGTATGCGATCGTTAGATGTAATACATACGTATATATAGCTGAGCGGGTATCGACCTACACTTACATATTTCAGTTGGTGTGATTTTTAATGCGTCCGTGTAATCGTGCGTGATAACCGCGTGTAATACAACCATCAGTTCTTATGATACGTCGAGAGAGAAACGGAAGGATTAATTGGTGAAATTTGATTAACAGAAGTTTCACCGGAGTTTGTTATTATTACTTGTAACTTGGAAATTCATCGTCATATTTTTATTATTATTATGAAAATTACTTTGATAAACAGACTGAAATACTTGGCTATCCGTATATTCAAAATTACAGGAATTCGAACGAATTTGATTACATTATAACTGAATTACAATAAATCGATATCTTACTATACTATATGTAACTCTAGATAGATATGTACATGTATATAAAATTAAATATTACAAACTGTTACAACATCAGATACTATTCCAACGTATTACGTAACTAAACAACACGATCGCTCTATATCAGTTACAACAGAATTATTGCAACTAGCGCCGGCTCGAGTTGTAGCTGCCAAACGTATCCAAGCATTCGTTTGTACCCCTAAGTCCAGTTAGTAAATTCGGTTATACCGCTAACTCTTCGCTGCACCACACCTAAGGGACGATGGGGCGGCGATTTAGAATAAATTTCGGTGTCAACTTTTTAGAGTATCGTTCATCTACGAGATCTAACAACCACCCGAGTGACAACAAGGAATTTTATCTTCGGGCCCTTTTTACTAACAATCAGTGGCTTAATCCACTTATTCGCTCACCGTTTTGTATGCCAGGGGCCCTTAAGCATTCTGTAGATAGCAGGCAACAACACCCAAAGCAGGAAAAACGGGTAGATTCGATTAGAATAGAATCTCTGTTTTCATCAAATTCCCAGTTAAGTTATTTGCCAATAAGCAACCGGCACAACGATAATTGAAATCGACAGCAACAGAGTGTGGACATGGCAAGGATCGTAACA